GGGTTAATTGCTGCTAAAAATACATATTTAGCAGCAAGTAAGCTATTGTTGTTATTTAGTTGCCGCTAATTAAAATCATTTTGGTGTAGTGTAGGTATATTATCCATATATATGTAAATTAAATTTTTACCTACATGCATATATTGGTTATAGAAATATACAGTTGAGTACTTACCATGAGAATGCCCTTTATGTTATCCAAAGTAAGATCAATTGAAGTTGATTGTTCGCTCCTTAATTGAAGCAAAAGATCAATAATATCTCCTTCCATTGATTTTGGCCTATTGGGATTGAGATGCTGGTTAATGAGTTCTTCAAAAAATTCATCTAAATCATTAAAATTCTTCTCAAGTCTACTAATATTTCCAAATAATTTATCAAGCCAACCGAACATAGGAAAATAATCCGAGAAAAAAAAAAGTGTCATCAGCTCTTCTGCCATAGTGGAAAGTTCGGTGAATTTCCTTTGTTCATGTGTTTCTTCATCATACCTAATACCAAAAGCAATTTTACAAATAATTATATTTGTTAGTGAAATCACTATGTCGCTCAAATTTATAATTTGTGAAGCGGCTGCTTGTTGAGATATTTTCTTGATCACTTTTGATACTTCATCTTCACGAATTAGACTAAAAGATTGCACTTTTTTGAGACTGAATAAATGAACAACACAAACCTTTCGCATTTTCCTCCAATATTCATTGTAAGGTGCAAAGGCAATATCATGACCATTGGAAGTCAATTTTTGTTGACCAAGAAAAGAGGGTCTACTACAAAATGTTAAATCTTGTGTTTTCAGTACTTCTTTTGCTAATTTTGCTGAAGAAATTACTATCATAGTGGAAGATCCAATTTTCAATGAGAATATTTTTCCATATTTTTGGGAAAGTTTCCAAAAATAGAGATGAGGGTTTAAACTATCATATTGATGCAAATTTCCAATAAAAGGTAGCCCTAATGGACCTGGTGGTAGAAAGGTTTTTCTACTCATTTTGGCTTTATGAAGAAGAAAAATGAAAACAATAGAAAGAGCTAATGAGAATAGAAAGAACATCATGTTATTGTCCTGCACAAAAAATTAGTTACTTGAAATGTATTAATAAATATAAATGTATCTTATGTAGACGATAAGAATATAAACAAGTGAAGTGCACAAATGCCCCGATTTTGGGACCATCGTTTAAGTTGTACACAAAGTTTATAAAGATCTTAAGTTAATATACAATAATAATTGAATTCACACATATAGATGTTTATACAAAATCAACTTTTATGCAATGTATCTTGAGGTAAGCTGATACGTACCTACCTATAATTACATATAAGTACATGAAACAAAGTGATATAAAAAAGTCATATAGCTAGGCGGTATATGGCATATTTTATGATAGAAATGAGGACCATTGGCAGATGTAGCTAGAGGGTTCATCTAAATCTAGTTGAATATTAATGTAGAACTTATATTTATATTTTAAATTCACCAAAATTAAAATAATAAATTTGAACTTTTAATTTTAAAAATAGAATAAATTGCACAGTGAAATGAGAAAGCGGAGGCTTTGCATGATGAAAATTATGTTTATCTCTAATTACTTACTAAATTGGTAGTACTGGTACCTATCATTATCGGTAGATTTAGAATTTAAAGTTTATGAATTTTATAAAAAAAGTTTAAGTTAATATACATTAAGAACTGCAACAAGAAATCTCCGAAACAAATAAGCCATGAAAGTGGCATAGAAAAATCATAGGCTATATATATATGTGGCCTATTTTGTGATGGAATTAAATGAGTTTTATAGCACGTATCAGTATGGACAATGAGGACCAACTAGGGGGTTCATCTAAATCTAGTTGTATATTTACACGGGATATATATTTATACATAAAAATTTATTAAAATTAAAATATTAAATTTGAACTCATAATTTGTATTAGAACAAAATGCCTTGTATTAATCTCCAAGTCTAGTATATATATATAATGTGTTTGCTCGTAGACTTTGTTTTCACTTAATTGTGGTTAATTGTACTATACATTAATTTCCCTTTCATTAAATCAATCAACCATGGTAAATGATATAGTTTGATATAAACACATGATACGGATAAATTTCTATAATTCAGATCTAAGTGTTTAATCTAAAAAGAAAAAAATATATATGTTAAATTTTATGGTGCAATCTTGATTTATGATTATTTTTAAAAAATGCATCTTGTTGCTTAGATGTTGTGTTGTGAACATGGTGAATTATGAACTAATTTAATTTAATTTGTATATAAATAATAAGCTTATAAATTATATATGTATTATTTATACGAGACAGAATATGGAATAAGATGAAAATATTAGTAATAATATTCTCCCACTACAAGAATTATGCTCTCAATAACATGGTATATATAAATGTTGAACCAGGAACACACTGAAATATTTTAAATAAAAATACGCTTAATTTTTCTAAACAATCAGTTAGTACGTTCCTCCAGAGTTAGATATGAAATTTTATTATCAAAAACATTATAATAGAAGTGATCAAGCACAAAATAACGCGTACCATATTAAACATAGGTAATGGAAAGCACTTTCGCCCATATGTTAAAACATATACTAGCTAGGTGTATGGATATTTTTTTGGGACAAGGCAAAGATCATTTTTCTTATGCATGCCAAGTCCAGGCATAATAGTTGTGTCAATATCTTCTTTCATGATCCCATAAGGCAATTCCCAATCAAATGCATAAAGAAGATTTGGAAGTATAAGATTCACCGTTGCAACACCAAGTGCAACCGCTGCAAAGACACAAATTCAAAATTTAAACTTTAATTATAATTATAAAATTGTTTGAAAAAACTCATCGCGTAATTTATACATCTACCATCAGATACCTGGACAACCTCTTCTGCCAGCTCCAAATGGAATCAACTCAAAATTTTGACCCTTGAAATAATCAATATCACTATTTAAAAATCTCTCAGGTATAAATTCTTCTGGATTTTCCCATATTTCAGGATCCCTTCCGATCATCCATGTGTTTACATAAACTACAGTTTTTGGTTGAATTTCATACCCTTCTAGTGTAGATTTTTGTATTGATTCTCTTGGCATTAGGAGTGGAGAAGGTGGATATAATCTAAATGTCTCTTTTATCACTGCTTTGAGATAAGGCATGTTTTGAACATCATCTTCATTCACAATGCCTTTGTTCCCAATTGTTTTTCTGATTTCTTTTTGAACTTTCTTCATTGCTTTTGGATTTTTAATCAACATTGTCATTGCCCAAATTATTGGAACTGCACTAGTTTCTGTTCCACCAAAAAATATATCCTATACAAATGAAAGAGATTGTCAAATCATAAGAAGTTTCTAATGTACGTATTAATGTGTGAGTTTAACTTGTGTACACTCACGATATAAAGTTAGTCAACAACGTCTACAAATAGTAAGCCTATTTTGATAATTTTAGAAATTTATATTCAAATTATTGATCACTTACCGTGAGAATTGCTTTAATGTTGTCCAAAGTGAGATCAAATGGAGTTGATTGCTCTTTTCTTAACTCTAATAAAATATCAATAATATCTCCTTCCATGGATTTTGGCCTATTGGGATTGTGATGTTGGTCAATGAGTTCTTGATAAAACTCATCCAAAATCTTAAAATTCTTCTCGAGTCTACTTATTTTTCCGGTGAGTTTATCCATCCATCCTAAGAGAGGAAAATTATCAGAGACAAAAAAGGTTGCCGCCATCTCTTGTGACATAGCTAAATGTTCATCAAATCTCCTCTTTTCATGTGCTTCTTCATCATACCTAATACCAAAAGCATATCTACAAATCATTGTACTTGTTAGTGAAGTCACTATATTACTCAAATTTGTAATTTGTGAAGCGGCTGCTTGTTGAGATATTTTCTTGATCATTCTTGAGACTTCATCTTCACGAATCGGTCTAAAAAGTTGCACTTTCTTGAGACTGAACAAATGAACAACACATATTTTTCGGATTTCTCTCCAATAGTCATTGTAAGGTGAAAAGCAAATATCAGTACCATTGTAAGATACTTTTTGTTGGCCAACAAAAGAGGGTCTACTACAAAATGTTAAATCTTGTATTTGGGTTACCTCTTTTGCTAATTTTGCTGAAGAAATTACTACCATAGTAACAGATCCAATTTTCAATGAGAATATTTTTCCATATTTTTGGGAAAGTTTCCAAAAATAAAGACGAGGATTTAAACAATCAAATTGATGCAAATTTCCAATAAAAGGTAGCCCTAAAGGACCTGGTGGCACAATGGTTTTTCTACTCATTTTGGTCTTATGAAGAAGAAAAATGAGAATAATAGGAAGAGAGATTGAGAACAGAAAGAATATCATTTTGTTGTCTACAACTGCACAGAGCCGATTCAAAATTTGAAGTTTATAAACTTCTATGAAAATCTCAAATTATATTAATAGATAATAATAACTGAAACTACAATCAGATATTTATAAGTATTAATTTGATTTTTTTGTTAATATAAAAGATAAATGAAAACTAATAAGTTCACGTGACATTTAGCCGTACTCTAGAATCTAGATCAGCCCCTACCTAGAAATACATTTAAGTCATGGTAATGATAGGCCTTATTTTGTATAGATACGAACTTTTCCTATGTATAACTTATTTTTAGGCTCTTTGCCTCCCAAGGCAGGGGTAAGACGTATACACTACCTTCCCCAAACTTCATTTATAAGATTACACAATGTAAACAAATGGAAATTAAACTACTTAAACAAATGTTTTAATCAATTGGCTTAAATCTGGAAAGTAGTTGCCTCTATGCAAATTCATGAGTACCTATAGCCCAAGGAATTATATTCAAGGTGCGCGAAAGCTGGCTAGACACCCTCGGAATGCTATGAACATCATATGAAGAAAAGATTAAATTGCATGCAGCAGAAATAGGAGATAGTCAAAATAGGCCATATTTTACCCAAAGCAATTACCTATGCATCCAAATATACATGTAGAAACAAGAACACTCCCTCTGCAGTTGAAACATTTTGTCTAATTAAGGAGTTCAAACGCACACAGCCTAATATAGAGAAGAATATATATATATAGTCGAATTCACGCAACAAAGGAACTACGCGTCTTGATGTACTGAAGAGCAGCAAACAAATGGTACCCAATATGGTTTCGTCTTCCTCTTTTCCTTCTTGATGTCAACAGGATACCTCGCGGGAGAATTCCATTCTTTCTCCGCCTCTTTACTGACAGCAGTTGGTGCCTCTGAGCTCAGAATCGAGTTCACTGTCGTTGTCTTAGTACTGGCAGTTTCATCTTTCTTGTTAGCTGATGGCGGAACTTGTTTTACGTTGGGAGATCTGGCTTCACCAAGTAGACTTTTCAAGGGAGTGTGTTGCTGCTTCCCTGTGCTCCAGTTTGTGACTTTTGCAATTATCTCCTCATTCTTCTTTCTCCCTTGAGATTCATTCACCACATTCGTAATAGAAGGGAACCACCCTGCTTTAAGAGATTCTGTTTTCGGCTGTTGAGCGTTCAGCTGTGTTTCGATCTCAGAAGCAGTGGCTTTCTTGTTAGCACTACTTTCACCCGATTCAACCAATGTCATGAAAGACGGAGGCTCATAAACATCCGACTTGTCAAGATGGCACTCCTCAGATCCAGAAGTTGGTTTCTGCAAGTCATGCTCCAACTTCTCGAGTCTTTGAGTATCAGTTGTTTCGGCATCAGGAATGGCTGTCGACTCAGACTGGGTGGAAAGAACTGTTTCATCACAAACAGCAGAACATATTAGAATGAGATTATAAACTCATTTTGAACCTTTCTACAATGACAAAAGGAAACCAAAATTGACTTCCAATAAATTATTTTCATCATTTGATATATCTATACAGAGGAAACAAAAGTGATTATACCTGATATAGAACCCCAGTTGGCATCCAAGCTATCGGCTCTGCTACTCGATGAAATTGGTGTATCCACTGCAGAAACAGTTTCGTTCTGCTTTATGAGCTTGTCATCACTCTCATTCTGTGAGGCTGATGAAATGACACCAGTGGCACTTTTAAGGACATCTCCTGCAGGGGAGTTATCAACAACACGATTGTTCAAATCAGTATCGACAACATGATTGTTCAATTCAGTATCAACAACACGATTGCTCAAATCAGTATCAACAACACGACTGTTCAAACCAGCGGGCTCTTTCACGTCACAACCACTGATTACTTTGGGATCCAATCCAGTTGCACTTGCAGACTCCAATGCTTTGGCATCATTGCCAATTGACACGTCTTCTGAGGCTTCATGAAAAATTTCTTGCCTGCTTTCATCCACAGTTGTGTCTGTAACTATAGCACGGTCATTATGTCCTCCAACTGGGCAGATAGTTTTATCACCTTCAGAAACTCCTGCCAGCTTTTCCTCGGTCCTTTCTTTCTCAGTTTCACCCCCAGCTACAATTGGGCATTCAGTTCCGACCTTTTCATGTTCACCATGGTCACTTTCTCCGAGAGTGACCGTAGTTTGAATAGCTTCAGATAAACAAGAAATGGCTACAGGGGTTGTTTCATTGTTTGCAAAAAGCTCATTTTCTGGATGTCCACCCTTGTTCTCCACTTCCATGGTAAAACTTGTTTCTTCGGTTCTTTCAATTACAGGATCATCAACTTTTGTTGATTGCTTGGCATCTTCCTGGTAAGATGAAAGAGAACTCTTTGAAGAGTCATCAGGTTCTTGAAGACCATTGGAGCTCGGAATACTCGACACTCCACACTCGAAGGTATCTAGATTGGATGATAATCCGCTTGAATCTGTTATACCCTCTGCGGCGACCGCCACCTTTTCTTCACTAACCTGATCCCCTGAAACATCCAAAGCTACTGAGGGTATGCTTCCATCAGACCTGCCAATGCCCACAAAGGATTGAGTCACCTCTGATGCAGCAGCAGTGTCATCTTTGACGGAGCAAATTTCTTCAGAAGAGCCTAGATCCAATGGAAAACTAGATTTGTATTTATTATAGTCTTTAAAATCTTTAAGCAGTTCAGGGTTGTCTAATGCAGGTAAATCTTTTGCCAAAGACACCACATGCACATCTTCCATCCCCTCCTCAGCTTTGAATGAGTCAGAAAGCTCCATTTGACGACCACCATCGATTTCATTAGACGAAACAGCTTCCGATTCCAATGTAGGTGCATTAGGTGAAAGTTCAATGGAGATTCTCTGTTTGTCCTGCTCCGCCTTATCATGTTGCTCATGCTCCTTATCTACATTCACACCATCTAAAGATTTAACTTCAGCTTCGGAAAAGGCCAATTTCAACTCCGTAGAATCAGGATTTTCTCTCTCGTTATGCTGTTGTTCCGCTTTGTTGGGAACATTTTCTGTGGCTTGATCCTCTGCCTCAAGTAACTTAGACTCCACAATTGAAAATTTTCCCTCTGCCTCCTGTGGCTTTGACTCATAACTTTCATTATTTGACGTCTTTTCATCTGTATCAGATACCACTGATTGAGACACTTCGACAGAAGCCTCAACAGCATCAGTTAAACCTTCATTGGCATTGATATCTTCTATTGCCTTCAAATCATTTGGCTGGTCTGAAGACATCTGCATTTGTTTGGCTTCAATTGATTCAGCTGCATTCATCTCCTGCAGAGAAGCATCCCCTGGGATCTCGGATTTAACAGCACTGGTGTCCACTTGTAAGTCCACTGACCTGTCAAGCTTTAAACCCAAAGATTTATCTGCCACTGGCTGATTGGTTGCACTTTCAGGTGACTCTGGATCATTTACTTCGGCAGTGAGCTGGTTGTCATTTACAGAAACTGAGATACCTACAACCACACAGTGCACCTCAAATTCGTAAAATCCATATTAATGTAATTAATGAATGAAATGAAGTCTTCTAAATGTGAAGGCAGATTGCAAAACCTAAGTAGCAGAATGAAACAATTAAGGAACAAACAACCAAAATGATTTAAACTAACATATGTAGGTAACGGAAGCATAATGATCACAAATTGAAAAGAACATTTAATTTGTAAAAAATTATCTTAAAATCAAACTAATTTAAAGGTGTTTTTGACACAAAGAAGCTCCTCTATTTTCCATAGATTATCGCATTTTATTACATTCATCGGAAAGGAAATTCAAGGATGTTGTGCAGTTCAAATGATACCAGATAAAACCTATTGACTACCAAGTCTCATTGCCCACGCAAAAAAGGGAAATGAGACACATTGGATGAAAGAAAAGAACAGAACAATTCGGATATCTTCATTTGTAGCATTCTTCCCAATCTTGATCATCGTTTTCGTTTTACCAATCTTCCCATTCTTGATCATCGTTTCTTCCAATTTCAACCATGTAGTCGCTTATCAAGGAAATATCATCTCATACTCCCTATATTGCTTAAAACCACATTTTATTACGGTCTTCGTAATTTCCTGATCACATATAATTTTGGGTAATACAACTGTTCAAGGGGAAACTCTTCCTAGGGAGGACCACAGAAGCAGGCCCACATGGAGCTAGGACAATCCACAACAAATTTAAGCTGACAATTGTGGGAGACACCTAAATAGACCTGACACAAAAGTCTTCAATGACACAGCTACTAGGTTCAGCAATAATAGCGGATTCGGGAAATATCATAAAGGGAGTTCACTGGTTTTAATGAGAAGCATTTTAATGATTGTCCATAATAAGTACTGTAAGTTAAGGGAATTCACTGATTGCCACAGAGCTTCAAGACAGAAAAAAATAAGGTTTTAAAAATCCAGTATAAATTATATCAAACAATGGAAATAAGCAAAGATGTCCATAAAATAGTCAAGTTACTCATGGAAATGAATATCCAATATAAGAAAACTTCATCCGTCCATCTCATTTAGAATTCATAATAAGAATTCCTAGACTCCAACCTTATTGGTTCACCAATTACCAAAGTCGAAGGGAAAATAAATTTCCGACATGCGGAAAAGGAAAATTAGCAGCAGAGACAAGATTCTTTGTTTGATAAAGAGAAACAGAGACAAGCTTCTAACATTGGGAAAGAATTAAAAATGACATCATTTTGAACTTTGACTAGTAGCATTATCAATATTCTACTCTTTGCACACATCAAAGGACCTAAAATGATGCTCAAACTCTCCAAAATTGTTGCCACATCCGTGTAGGATACTCCAAAAATGCACTACCTTTGGATTATTTGACACACATGTTGATATTTTTGAAGAGTCCAAGCAACATTGGGACCTATCACCTATCAATTAATTCTGAAACTAAGAACCCTTCAGTTTATGATTTAAATGGCTTCTATGAAGAGATAAATACTCCCCATGCCCTAATTCCAGGGGAGCTTTCCCATAACCTTAGAGGGTTTCTCGAGCATGAGGTGCCATACATGTTTTATCATCTATGAAGAATATTTCCAAAGCCTCACAAGTTCCATGCACTACTTGTCTCAATCTCACCTGATTCCCCAAGTAAGATACCCAAAAAAAGGACGAAAAAAGACAAGATAGCAATAACCAACTTCCCCAAAACAAGATTTATTTTTTCCCCTTTCTGTGAAAGGTAAGTGCACGGCAACACATAATACAACAGAAATTAGGAAAAGGCTGCAATCCCCAACAACCAATACATTGGTAAGTATAATTACATACAGCCCATTTGAGAAGCCATTTGATCTTTGACATAAATAAACATGAGTGATCATTTGCCTAAATGCTTACCTCCAATTGCATCAGCCTTCAATAATTCATCATCAACTTTTTTCACATTCGTGTTCAAACTTTTGACACCCTCCGGACGCTCTTCCATGCCAGGGCTGATCCCACTATCAGAAAACTCCATGACAGCATCAGAGAAGGTTTCATCCTCTGATCGATATGATTTGTCACCGCTACTACCATCTTTAACACTGGTCTTTTTACCAATAGGACCTAAAACCAAAACCATGATCACATAAAAACACAAAATTTCACCAGAAAAGAGAAACTAAACTACATTCATGGCAAAGGCTCAAGATTTCTCACTTGGAGTTTGCTGATCTCCATCTGAGTGATGCTCGTCATCAGAAACGGCTAAATGGGTAGAATTACCTGCTTCGGATTCACTAAGCTTATATCCTTCAATTTTTCCACAGATCTTCTTGTGTGCCCTTCTATGTCTAGCACTAGGATGTGGGTTTGGGAAAGGCCAACTACATTTATGACACAAATGTGACCCATGATTCTCATGCCCTGAATTCAAGAAATCTCATTTCAGAACTCCCATTACCAACAATAACAACAACATACCCGGTGTAATCTCACAAGTGGGGCGGAGGAGAATAAAGTGTACGAAGATCTTACCCCTAACATCGTAGAGATAGAGAGGCTATTTCCGATAGACAACTCCCGCAACCAACCCAATAAATTATACATGAAAACTCAAATATTCACCGAGCAATAACAAGAACTAATGCTTATAATAATCGTAGAAGAGGATGAACTACACATTTCACACATTCATACACATGTCTGCTTATATATGTAAACATACTCTTTAAGATTACATAAAACCCCCAATTCACAACTTCCAATACCCAAAAACAAAACACAAATCAAACATTTCACACATTCAACATACACTTCCTGAAAAATTAAGAAAAATCCCCCATTTTGCAAATCCCCAATACACAAAAAACTCATTTTAAACACAAGTCAAGACCCCATTGACCAATATACACAGAAATGCAAGCACAAAACTCCCACAAAGTAACCCATAGTTAGAGAAATGTAGATATCCTTCAATAAAACCCCTGAATACCCAAATCAAGAAACAGTACACCCATAAACAGGAACTAACAAAATAACTAAAAAGAAACAAACTTTCAGAAACCCATTAGAGAAACAAGAGAAATAAACCTGATTGGGTTGTCATTTTGTGATCTTGGCTCTCCATAAGCAAGAAAATCAGTAACAGAACAAAGAAGTAAAGAAATGTGCACTGAAGAAAAGAAAGCTTTGTGACTTTGGTGTCAAAGTTGAAAAAGTATTTGATAGAGGTCTAGTAGTACAGTAGGGAAAAAGATAGAGACAGAGATGTAGGGGTGGGGTGGGTGGTTTATGGGGGGTGGGGTATGAAACAGAGATGATGATGATGATGATAAAAATGGTTATATTGCACCATGTGCGTATGTTATGGAGTAAGACAGTTTTTTTTTACTTAAATACCCTTCCTTGACTAGAACTAGAATCCTATGTTTTTTGGGTGATTGAATGAGTAAAAATTGTGTGCTTAGAGTGGTTGTACATTTATGACTTAAATACCCTTTATTAATCTAATGATGTGCTATCGAGTTTAAGTTGTATATCGATAGCAATATATTCTATGTAATCTCATAAGTGGTTACGAGAAGGGTGGATGTACCATGTACCATATCTTATTTCATACCTTGATTGATTTTGAGAGGATGTGTACGACCAATAGGATATTTATAAGTAAAACTCTTTAAAATATGAGGTTTCTATAATTTTTAAAAATAAGACAGGTTCCTAGTTATAAAATGACTAAAGATAATTTAATGATAAAAAAATTGATGTATACAATTTAAACTCAAGTTAAAATATTGGTTACTAATATAATTAATCCTATGGTATTAGTGAAAGTGAAACTCTTATGTAATTCGATGTTAAAATATTAGAGTAGTCATACATTATTTATTATTATTTTATACAAATAAACACTTATGAATCATGACCTTGTGCTATCGATGACTTTTTTATATGTGTGAGTTTGATCCTCAATATTTTTATTGATTTGTTTCTTTATTTGGTTAAGGGGAAAGAGGGGAAATGAAAGTAAAAGACAAATGGTTTTCCTTAATTATAAAGTGAGGAAATAGTCAAAGGGACTACAAAAATAAAAATAAGTGTAAAAGGGTTCACAAATTGTTTTATTGTTTTTGGTAGGAAATAAAAAAGAAGAGTGAAGGGCATGGGTATATGGATTATTTCCTAATTTAACAAAGAGTAAAAGTTGGAGATTGTTTATGTTGTTTTGGTAATTAGAAATAATGAAATATGAATTATTTGTTCTGGGATTTTGGTAAGGAAATTAAAAATAAATGTTATAAATAGATAGGTTAGATCATGTCAACTTTGTTGAATTAATGGTTGGCAAAAATTAAGTTCTAGTGAAGATTTAAGTCAAACATTTGAAAATGAAGAAGAAAATAAGTCTTGTGGTAAAAGTAATAGTGATTCATTCCATTATATCCGGCATGTTATGATACTCTCCAAGTATGTAGAAATGGTCGATTGAGCTTGTATCCTTGCAAAAAAATAATTGCCTCTTTAAAATTAATTTATTTACCTAATAATTTATTTGATGTTTTACGATCGTTAAAGTGGCATGCTATGATATCCCAAAGTATGTAAAAATGGTCGATCGAGTTTGTATCCTTGCTAAATAATAATTATATCTGGATTTATTCTATTTACTTAATAATTTATTCGGTGTTTCACCATCACTAAAGAAGTTTTAAAAAGTATTAAACATTTTCACTTTTGATGTGTCTTTTTAAAAAGAAGATGACTTCATAAAAAAAGCAATCAAAATGAATATAAAGAACATAAATAATCAACAGAAAAAAAATATATACTCTAATACATAAATGTGTCTTTAACTTGACCTTAAATCTTTCATTTTAAGTGTGGACAAATTAATAAGTACTTAAACTATCATAAAATTAAATAAATAAATACACATATCTCATACGGCAAATCGCATGAGATAATAGATGCAATTGATTTTTATTTTACTTTTTAGCAATTTAAGTTGAATCATACAACCAATTACACCTTTGTAGCCAATCATACTCTCTAAATCCATATTTATATTTCATCAAAAAAATTCCTTTACCTCGTATTAATAACTTAATATCTTAGATTTAAATAGAAATATTTTTTGTCAAAGATGTTTTCTCCATCTATTTTATAATCGTTTAACATTTTAAATATTTGTACAATTTAATAATTAATTATTATTTTTTGTGTATTAATTATACATCGATTCATTTGACACTTTGATTGTGATATTAGTGGTGAAAACGGGGTGTTACATGCACTTTAATTTGTTGTTGACATTTGGTTTTGGTTATATTTAATAAAATTGAGCAAGATATTCATTTAATAAAATATGTATATGTGCATGAACCAAATAGTAATTTCTTTTATTAATTATATGAAAAAATTATTAACTATTTGAATATAAAAGAGCAGAACTTGAATTTATTATTTGATTTTGATATGACTAAGTCTTGAATTCGAATTCTGAAAATAAAGTTATTTGTGATAAAAAAAAAATGTTTTATTCTTCAAAGTGATCAAAGTTTTCGATACCCAACCCTCAAAGCGATACTAAATCTGTGTTTTTATTATTTAAATAAGGTACATGCCATAGAAGCATAATGAATTACTTTCATTTTCCTTTTTATTATTGGTGTTCATTTATTTATTTATTTTGTTGAGTCTCCATTTTGGGAAACATAAAAACAAACTAGTGGACAAATAATAAGATTCGTCGTGTCCCTGTTTGGACAATTATATGAATGCATTTTAATTTTCCAACAGAAGGTGTTGTCACATGTCTGTCATAATCACAGTACAATTATTTGGTTTAAGTATTTAAAGGTGGAAGTGTTATATACGACTTAGCATAAGTTCATATCAATCGTCTATATAATTTTTATTTATAAGATTTATTAGATCAAAACAGATAATATGTATCATTAGTTTGAGTTATGGCGAATACTCTCTCAATACAATAAACCTCGAGCAAAGATTGATAATACATATCATCAATTTGAATCAGGATAATTATGATATTAAAGTCAAAACATTTCCTCAGTATAATGGTAGGACAAACTGAGTCCATAAAGAATATGTATGGATCCCGTTCTTATCTATTTCCCTTGTCTCCATTTTCCCTAACTTCTAGTTTTGATTAATGACATATGGCATAGTCTAGATTTAAATAGCTAAGATTTGATTAATTAAAATATATCTCTAATCATAGTTTAGATAATAAATATATTATTATATCAATTAAAAATAGTCCTATTATTTCTCCCATTTTCTCCTAATTCCTTCCAAGTTCGATTGTTTCTCTCTTTTCTACCTATTCCCTCCAAAATTTTCGTCTGAGATCATTGGTGAAGTATCTAAGGTTCGCAAGAAAGATTTAATTTCAAAAAGATTTGTTCATATGGAAAGTTGCACAAATTTAACGTAGGTCACTTACGAAAAATTTTAAAATCTCTTTCGGTAAAATATGCACATGCTCTTGGATGAGTACTTATTTGAAGCATTTGAATTGTATGCTTTACTTTTTACTATGGCTAAACTAATATGTTTGTTATCTTGGTTTAGGCCTAATGGAACAAAGAATGCCTACGTGTGCTTTGGATGTGGCATACAAAACCAGAATCATCTAAATGGCGTTAAATAGTTTGTGTTTTGCGTATCAGAATTTAGAATTTTGAATTGAAGTACTCAAATATTATTTAATTTTGATAATTGTATCATAAAATGATGTATTCTTTCGTATAGTTAGGATTTTCATAAGGCTATTTATCGATCGGTTCAATATAATTTGATAATTGAACTTCTCTTTTCTCTTTTATATATTCTGCATTAAGAAATTTTAACTATCAAGTAATTTGAATTCATGTAGCATAGTATATAATTTTTATGAGTATTTTATATAAGTCCATATCTAATCTGATGATGTACATTTTTTCTTTGAATAAAATTTTCTCAAAATGAATGAAATGATCAAGTCACATACCCCTTCCTTTCCACGACAGGAGAAATAGCTATTATTGTCTAGTAGTATTGCGCAAGAGCATGAGAAGAAGAGTATGATGGAAAAGATCGAGGAGAAATTACTCAATCATCATAATCATCACTAGATACGTAACTAAATGGAATAATGAAAAAAGAAATGTTGTATTTATAATGTGGGAACTCTTTAATTTTATATAGTGGTAGCTAGTTACGTTGCTTGTGATCGGTTTAGCAGATGCTTATGTATTAGCATGTGATAATTATGATAATTCTCATGCTTATGAAAAAATAAATGTTGCATATGCTCACGAGATTTTATTGATTTTCATGCTAAAATTATTAAAGATATCTTCAAATATATCTTGTAAAATGACAGCAAAGAAAATTTTGAAGGGAATAGGGAGAAAAGAGATGAACAATCGGACTTGGAGGGAATAAAGAGAAAAGGGGGAGAAATAATAGGATTATTTTTAATTGATATAATAATATATTTATTATCTAAACCTTGGTTGGAGATATATTTTAATTAATCAAATCTTAGCCATTAAATCTAGCCTATGCCATATGTTATTCATCAAAACTAGAACTTGGGAAAAATGGATAGGAGGGAAATGGAGAGGAGTCAGATCCGATGTATATACATGACGTCTATGATAGAGGGAAGTGAGTGCATGTATATATATGACGTCTATGATAGAGGGAAGTGAGTGCAATCGACAAGAATTGATAAAAATATGCATTGACTGACTTCTAATTGACAAGCTTTTAAAGAAAATATATATATATACACGACACCTTAGGCGAATTTCTTAGTGAATGTGGGAGAAAAGTGAAGAGTTTTACAAAGTATATATAACACAAGTCTACATAATATATATATATATATATATATATATATACATATAGTATAAGCTCGAGAATAGCATAGCGAATTTAAATATGTGGAATCGATTGGAACAAAAACAATAATATATCATGAATTTGGATCGTTATATATATTAATCATTTTGCAAATTGGATTTGTTATTTTTCAGATTAATAAAAATAAGGGTCCAGAAGAAATTGCTATAGAAGTCACCGACGGTGTGTTTTATATTGGACTATGTTATTAATCTTTTGTCTTAAAGCCTCTAGTCAACTATTGTTGATAGAATCTAAGGGACAGATATATATTAATACTTGATTATTTAAATTATTTAACTTGATTATAATAATATTGTAATACTTTATAAGATCCACAATTTTTTATTTGAAAAAAGAAT